CATTTTTTAAATATTGCAATCTAATTTGTCAAAAAATTAACAATGAGGTTTTTTTTTTTTTTAAGGTAACCCTTTCCTCACCATTGGAGGCAACCTTATCTTGTCTCTTAGCCCACCCCACTCACATGTTATGTAATTCAAACTCTGAAACTTTTATTTCTACTGGAAGGAAATTACTATTGAGCTATTACAAAATAAAATCTATATATATTATAAAGAAAAAACCATTGAGAAAACTTTGTCATGTATCACATTCATATGTTTTCCTTCAATTAACAAATTTAAATTCTAAAACTTTAAATCATTAATTTTAAAAGCTTCAAGTTTTAAATTCTTATTATTGCACTCTAAAATTTTACGATCTAAAATTCTAAAACTATAAAACTAAATGCTTAATCTAAAATTATAAAGTTTAAATTTCTAATTTTATATGTTAAATCTTACATATTGAAATATAAAATTATTCTTACTAAATTCTAAAAAAATCAAGCTTAAAATTAACAAATGCTTAATTTGAAAAGTAGTATAGTAAAAAAATCCAATAGCTTTTCTTATATTATTATGAATTAAATATTTTAGTGTATATTTTCTTTATATAATTTCATCCAAATAATCTATCTCTTTTATTCATTTTTTTATTTAAAAAGATATTTAAATTAACAAAAAATAATTGCAAATATGCACTAAGGGTATTGTAGTCAAGTGGCACTAATTAACTTTTTGGATTTGATTTTTTTTTTCTGCCATAATTTGAACTTTGACAATAACTCATCTCATTAAACAACAACATAAGAAATACTCCGTTGTAAAAAAAGATACTAAATAAGGAAAGTTTTGCCATGTGTCAAAAGAACCATAAATTAAGGATTGTATAAAAATTTAGCACATGACATGATTTTTCTCATCAATTTCTCTTTTTATATATAAATAGATATAGAATAGATTTCTAATGCAACATCATTAAATAGAAGAATAGTTTAATGACATGTTATTAATCAAATTCGAATGAGATAACATAAAAGGGGGGGTTATTACTACACTCTAAATAGTTAATATCACATCATTGTAATATAATTGTTTATTATATCTTTATATTTTATTTTTCTCCAAATTTTATATTTTTGTTTTTCAATAAATTAAAAGGTATAATAGTCAATTAAAATAAAAAAGTATGGCATTAATAATTAATGGCGTAATAATAACATCACCCCATAAGAGAGAGAAAAGAAGACTTTTTTTTGCTCAGCTTTGTGCTAACATTGTTGATTTTTCATGCCTAACTCTCTCCACATGAGTTGCTCTAATATTATTGGGAAAAAAAAAAGAGTGAAACTTCACACTTTCTTTAATTTTACAAATATCATATTATCACTATTCAAATTTTATGAAATAGTATTAATAAAACTTGAAAGATATTAGTGTTATCAATAGCGGATAGCAGCAAATAGCGGAAAGGCCAAAATCCACTATGATAGCGTAGCGGGTAGCGTAGTGGCCGTTATAGAGAAATAGCGGGCATTTAATAAAAAATATAAATATAAATCTAATAATTAAAGTAAAAGACAAATCTAATAATAAAAGGCATAAAATGACCTAAGAGTTTATAAAAATTATCAAAAATTATTAAAAGCAATATTCTCAAGTCTCAACAAATAAAAATCATAATTTAGAATGATCAAACAAGACAATAAAATACTTAAAGAGTAGAAAAATCAAACAAAATCAGTTCAGAAAAAAGTTAGATAATAGAACTTTAAAACAAAAAATCATTCAAGAGTCTAATAATCCTCATCACTCTCTTCTGCTTCTAATTCTTCTTGCTCAGCCACCAAATCATCATCATCCTTGTCTTTCTGACTTGTTCCACTATGCTCAAACTCCTCTTCTTCCTCCTCTGACTCTTCAAGATCTAAAGTATGAGCCTCTTCACTAATTCTAGTAGCATAAACTGCATCAACACTAGAGGTTGTGGCTGGAGTTCTAAAGGTTAGTGTTGGAATTTGAGAGGTCAAGGCTGCAATGCATTTCTTTTTGCTTGTCCCCTAGTATAAGTTCTAATTTCTCTTGCCCCTAGTATAATTGTAATATAAACTTGCTAGTTGCTTCAATACAAAAAAAAAAGAAAAAAAGAAAAAGAAAACAGAGGCGCAATTGCAGAAGTAGAACCAAGCAAAGAAAAAAATAATTGTCACAGGCTTTTGTGTCTTACTTTCTATTTCTAATTCCAACTTTTTGTTCTGGTGTCAAAAAAAAAAAAGAAAAAAAAAGAAAAAAGAGGGAGACAACACTTGCAGAAGCAGAACCAAAGCCAGAAAATCTGGTGTCAAAAAAAAGAAAAAAAGAAAAAAGAGAGAGACGACACTTGCAGAAGCAGAACCAAAGCCAAAATAAAAAAAAATTGTAACATGCTTAATCGCTGTCCAGTAAGATCAGTGCTTGCTTGAAAGATTACCTAAGATTGGAGACAATATGATGTACAGATCAGTGCTTAATCGCTGTCTAGTAACTCTAGTTACAAGAGGTGTGAAGGGGTGAGCTGTGAGACTGAGAGTTGCCTTGCACTCTTCAACTCTTGTTATGGCTGATGGGGACTAAGAGGAGACTAGATGGTGCGCAAAGTGGGAGAGAATATCGACGTCGAGACTCGTGAGGTAGATCGGTAGAGGAGAGTCGAGAGGAGTGCGTGGGACGTGTGGAGACCAGATGCGATGAGTTGTTTTAGGGTTTTCTTTCTTTAATTTATAAATAGAAAAGTTGAAAAGACAAAATTAACCTTGAAAGCTTTTAACTTAAACTCTTGATGTGGGGCAACATGGTAATTTGACAAAAAAAAGTCGAGAAATTTAAATAGCGGCCACTATACCCACTACCCGCTATTTGTATAACGGCCGTTATTAGTGGTCATAGCGGCCGCTATTGTTCACCTGCTACGCCATGGAGATTTTTCATAACGGTCATAGCTAGCAGCTACGCTAGGCCACTATAGCGACCGTTATGGTCGCTATTCACAACATTGAAAGATATATAACATAAAAAGGATGGAGTTATTATCATATCCTAAATAATTAATACCACATCATTTTAATGTAATTATCTATTTTACCGTTACGTTACATTTTTTTCTCAAAATTCTATATTTTTTATTTCTTAATAATTGAGAGTGTACTAATAATATCAATCCATAAGAGGGAGAAAAAAGGACTTTTCTATGCTCAGTTTTATATGCATCTAAGTTCAGAACTTTCCTACTAATATCACTATTTTTTCATGTCTAGCTCACTCCATGTGGAGCTCTAATATTATTGCAAAATAAAAGTTTTGCATTTTCTTTAATTTTTCAAATATCATATAATCACTATTCAAGTTTAAATATTATTGTATTATTTATTATTAGTCATTAACTACTCAAAAAAAAAAAAAAGGAAATGGAAACGTTGCAAGAAATGGCCAGAGAAAAAAAAAAAGTTTCAAGTGTTCTTAGAAAAAAAAAGTGCAGCCAACAAAATGTACTATATAATTTAAATATATAGTTGTAATATATTAATTGATGGTAGAATAACAAATTAAATAGTATGATATTTTTGACTTTTTGACTTCAATAATAATAATAATTACATTTAAAATAGAATACAAAAGAAAGAAATATACCAAAAAAAAAAAGTCAAGTCACGTGTTAAAAATAATAAATTAAGAAAAACATATGAATGTAACACATAATAAATTTTTCCTCGAAAGTTTTTTTTATGATATATTTAAATTTTATTTTATGAAATTAACATG